ATTACAAAAATAAAAAAACATTTATAAAACACTTGTGTAATTAGTGGTACGGACCCGGATAAAAACATCTCGCACACCACGGGGCATTTCAAGATCGCTCGACCTTTGGTGCGCTTTGTTAAAAGTCATACGTGTGTTATGCGTATCGGTTAGGCGTGGGGAGGCGTGCGAGGGGGGCATAATCGTCCGGCGTACAGCGTTGAGCAATTACATTACATTGACAATGACCCAATTCCACCTGCCGCACACACACACACAGCAGCGCATACTGCTATGGCTGCAACGTCGCACAAGCGTGTACACACAACAGTTCCTAGTGGCGCGCACAGAGGAGCGGCGTTTGAGGGGAGCAAAATTAATACGTATACAACACAATATGATATACCAAGACTTTTCCCAATTCGTAAAATTAATATTGTAGATGTATAATGATTATACACGTGCCGCCGGCAGTGTGCGTACGTTGGTTGGTAAATAATACTGAAAAAATGCCAAACGGTGTACACAATATATACATCAAACGAGCGAGTACATTGGAATAATAAAGTGTACAATAATAAGTAATTATATAAAATATTTACCGCGCGGACGATGCACGATGCGGTTCGCTTTCACCGTCAAATTCGTAACAGCAGATAGCGCTCAAGGCGATCCTATCGATCGAGTACCGGCGTAAACAACGACACCGTCATGGCACATCTCCACCGCACCGTAGAGGAGACCCGTAACGCACATTCCGCCAAAGGCTGTTGCACCAGCGGCGGTGATGCAACGGTACACATCGGAGATGGCATGGTGTTAGAATATAAAATATACCACCCCTCCCCCCCAAAAAAAAACGCCCGACATGCCTGAGCGCAAAAAATAAAATAGTTTAACCGATTTTTTGGAGTAGTCGACCGGAAGTGAGCGTCCGAAGCCGGTATATGAATTCAACGATTAGCCTATAACTATTTCTTTAGATATTCCGACTATATACGTATTTTGTTGTGTCCCTATAATCCGAACCAGTTATTCAAAAAACCACTAAAACAATAACCCGAGAAAACTTCGATGGCTTAAATATTTTTACAGAACTAAAATCCGATAGTTTCAAGTAGGCGTAAGTTTGTCACGCTTTTGAGTCTAAATTGGTATCTAGTAAGAACCAAATGGCTTTTACTCGTTGAACAAATACAAATTTTATACGTTAAAAATTATACCCTGAAGCTTATACAAATTACCCGAAAAAGGAATTGACATGGTCGAAATTTATTAAAACCTCTTTTTTCTTCAATATTGCCAGCATATAATTTGTATGCTACACAAAATATTAAAATCACTTTTTTCTTAAATATTGCCTGCATACAATTTTTATGCTAAGCTGTGTCATAAACTTTTTCCCTCAGAAAGGTTAAAAACTATATTTATATATCATTATTTTTCAGCGAAGTTTTGCGACTCAATGTCTAAAAATTAACATATATAATTTTCTCAAAAATCTCTAGTCAAACTTTTTTTTTAATGAATTTTTAACAGCCTCGCGCCGTATTACATGTTAAGGTTGCCGAATCAACAATCAACATGTATCTGAAAAATATTTTAATTATTTTGTTGATAACGATATTGTTTTTAGTATCAACGGCAACGTATATTTTTAGAAAAGACAGGCGATCACCCTAATCGTATGTACCCTCTAACCAACAATATAACTGTAGCTTTGAGTAATACACTAAATACATCCTCTGCTACAAAAGAGTATAATACGGACTTTCTTTTTTTCAAATAAATTGTAAAATAAAAATACGATGAATTGTTGAAATCTTTAATTTATTAAAGTCGGGAGTCTAACAATATTGTCGTAAGAAAAGCTGCATTGACATTGGCACAGATTCGATATTTAAATACAGTAAAAAGCACAAAGAGAAAAACGGATGTATACATAAGTTCGTTAAACGTCGTGGCGCGATTGCACGACCACGCAAAGTACAAAAATGTATTTTCTCTAATTTCACTTGAAACGTATTCACTGTAACGGTAATATTATATACTCACAACATAACGAAATAAATATAATATCGCCCAACGACTAACGAGCACTGAGATTAGAACATTTCACGGAACGACGGACAGACTGTGAATTATACACTGTTAAATCGATGTATAAATTAATTACAATTGCTAATTAGTACATAGTAGTATGTAAGTCTTGTCCGGAGAAATAAGCAAATTTTAATGAGCGCGTTGTGTACGACCGTAAACTACCAACTGTTGGAAATGTGCGTTTGTGTGAGCATACAATCAATTTACAAAAATAACTATTGTAAAACGTTTCGAGCGAATTGCACGCAAAGAACTTGCAACATTATAATAATATTTATACACCACTTCGCGGCATTGGTAATGATGGCACACGCCACGTACAAGAGGAATATGTATACAGATAAGTTTTTTATTTTAGCGTTGTGCGGAAATCTTGTGGTTTTTTTCAACTTTACGAGGAGTCCGCAGACAAATAACGGCCACGCCACTTTGGCATCCTGTTATACTGTGCACACTGTGTGGTGTTATTTACACAGAAGCAAAACGGCATCTTCAAACGGGATTTACACGCGAACCGCTAACACCACGTTTCGTCTGGTAATTCATAATAATAATATTATTATGTTCGTAAGCATACAATACAATAAACTTTTGCATTAATTGTATGGCGCGTTAAAAACAAATCAATACCTCCGGTTTTGTCTAAATGAATACTATTATATTCGTTATACTAATATTTATACTATACTCTCTACAACAATGAAATTCATGATGTTGCAACGTCAAACGGAATACTGTACACAGTGTTGTCGATTTCCACAATAAAGCGATTTAATACCGAGACAGCGCAATGGTTTCTTTGTAAAAAAACAAGAAGAACATTTTTTTTTTTTTTTAGCTTTTACTATAAGTCAATTTCATCCATAGCGTTATATTATAAGGTAAGGTGAATCGATTTCATTCATTGTATTAGTGGTTTAATTTAAAAAATCGAAATAATTGTATCAATTAATTCAGTTGCCGGAGAATAAATCTGAGTACAAAAACTGATTAGTAAAAGTCGATATTAAATATTTGAAATAAAACAAAAATACTTAAAATTTGAAGCAGGTATACGCTAAACGTGTAAAACTTAGGACTTGTGAAAAACGCCATACTCAATTTGAATATAAAAATGACTTTTATAAAAATTGAATGTTCAATTGAGATAGGCTTTGTAGTAAAACCTGTTTTTTAAATATTTATTAAAAATTATAGTAATTCTGACAAACGTCCTCTTTTGGTAAATATAATATATTATATACCAAAATTATTAACTAAAATCGCGAACAAAATAGTAAATTAGCCGTTTGAAAAGCCGCCTGTTAATACTAATGTTAATGCTAACCTTGACTGTTTTCGGGGACAAATAAATCAGAAAAAAATAGAAAAGTTCTCAAACCGTCTCACGTGTATTATAGCTATACCACGTGCAATGACTCGCAACGATTGTAAGTAAAAATATTAAGGCAACTAGTTTAATAGGTAAAACTATATAACTACCACGTCCTTGATAACCCACGAGAAACCAAAACCGTAAGCTCGCGTGCGGTTTGCAAACTATTACACCAACGTTCATGCATATTGCATTGTGGTCGTTTTTGTTCTTTACTCCAGCACTCTACGTACACATTGAACGAAAACCATTAGAAGTGTGTGCATCGTCGTCAAACGGTCGTGCTAAAGTCGAGAGAAATAAATATGAAAATAATGTTTACTATAAAGTATGTCTAGAAAAGTTTTGTAAAGATCAAGTAAATTGCCCGTGTGTTGAACAAAATAAAATACCCCATAAAATCTGAAAGGGCTGGCAATAATTTGTCAAGTCAGAAGTCAGTGCGTACAACAGCATTAGAGGGCATCCTGTTGAACAAACAATAAACAACATAATATATTAAACGAGGTGTATGCGTATGTGCGTCTCTTTATTAGTTTCCCTCTACAACGGCGGTCTAAGTGCTGTGTGTGCACCGGGTTAGGCGCGTGTAAAATGTTATTACTTATCCTACACAGAGCCGAAGATTTATTCGTACGTTGTTATTCAAATGAACAACGGATAACGTACAACAAACAAACAAAAACATTCTAAACGCAAACGTTTGGGAAAGTTTTTTACCCGTTACACAACACCAGAGTGTATATCCTAATCCTAATCCATATAATTTGTACCAATAAATAAAATCAATTACTGTTGTACGCGATAAATGTTAGTGCTCGATGGCCTCGATTTGCGGTGTGTGCATAATATTATGTGTGTGTGTGTGTATAATCGTTTAAAGCAAACACACGCCGACAAGAGTTGACCTCTAACACAAGGCCGTCGCATCTTCTGTGTTATAATATTATGTGTATAAAACAAAAAACACACACACACAAGCGAGGCATAGAACATTCAACTTTTGTCGTTTCCGTCCAACCGTGAAACGTTAAAGTAAAATTTTAAAATAATTTATATCGAATATTTAGGAATAAGACGTTACAAAATTAAAAACAACTCTTATCTTGTAACTGTATAGCAATAAATAATTGTACTGTGTTCCTAACTAAAATTATGAAAAACAACACTATAAATAGAACACTATATTAGTGTAATTATTACTCGGAGATTTGTAACACAATAATAATCATTAAATCCAAATTTATTGTGATTGTGTGAATTTTTTTTTAACAGTTTTGGCAACAAAAAACACAATCGAGGCCAACTGGGTCGGGTTTTATTGAAAAGTAACTAGGGTACTGGCCAACTTGTAATCTTGATTCTACTTATTTTTTACAGCCCCTTAGTGAGATCTACAGTTTATCGACTAATATTTTATCATTTAAAGGGTTATACGATTTTTTTAATTAAGCAATGTTTCACTGATTAGTGTACGCAAAGCGTACTAAACGACAAATGGAAAATTGAATAATAATTATTATTTGTAAATTCAACAACATACCTCTCTCCGTTTTAATCGATGGCGGTCGGTCAAAATCCGTACAAAACAAAGTAAGGTCCTAGGTCAACACTAAAAAAAAAAAAAAATATGTAAATTAGAAACGGATAACAATGATTAGAAGAGTATTGGTAACAAACCGTAGCGTCGGGTAAGTATAGTATTTTATGTTATGTAAATAAGTAAAGTTTTTTAGGCTCTTTAACAATGTTTTTGTACTTTTAACTGTTGTTTTACAAACAACAAGACATAATGCACATTATACCGGCTTGAATAGACGGCCCGCGATTTATTCGCCGAATTGCTGTCTGTTGTATTATAGTAGTAACTAGGTCGAAAACAGTAAGCAGGTTTCACCGCTAAGGCGTTCAAAGAACGTTGAAAAATGTATTGAGCTCATCGCGCGTCCTGAACTCGGAAGAAGGTGAAAAAAAAAATAGAATCGCAGTGATATTATTACGTTTATTGCTATTATGTTTTATAATAGTAAAAGTGATAAAAGAAAAATGCCTGTATCTCTAGGGGCATTAATAAGTTACAGTTTACACATTAATCTGTCAACGACTTGGGTAAACAGTAATCAAATGTTTCCTATATGTCCTATATTTTCTTCCGATATTTAACGAGACTTCAATTCAAAATTGAAAATCAATGAACCGACGTTTAAAAAAAGTCAATAAAAAGACCGTAAATCCGACACGGAATTTTTATAATTTAGAAAATATCATTTTTGAAAAAAATCTTATACTGCTATGGCCGATACACATTATTATCCTATATCGATAATGCTAATGTACAGTCCTTATCAAATTTTCAAAGTTCAACAAATAAATAAAAACATTTGAATTGAAAATTTTTTTTTTTTTATAAATAGCTGACAAATTGATATTATAATATTATTTTTATATCATTAAGAGGACGTCACACATACTACAGTTTAAGATATTCGGTAAATTTTACCAAGCACTCGATTAAGAGGTAAAATTGTATTTTTAATTTTTATTAGGGTAGTACTGATGATACAATTTATTGGTGGTTAATTTCATCGTACTGCCAGCGTTCATTAATAACGATTTTTTAAAAGAACGGCCCTTTGCTTTCTCAGTACATATTTTCCCAAAAAGCCTCGATTTTTATCAACATCGTAATTATATTATGATAAATAGTTCAGAGATGATTATATACAGAATGCAAACCCTTCTTTTTGCAAGAAGAAAAGACACGTGTAGCGTCGTCCTTGTAATATCTTATGACAAAATAAAAAATGTCTAAACGCGTTTAAAAATGTCTTGATTCAAGTTGAAATTTCATTAGGTACTTCTAACTTTTTCATTCGAAAAATTTCGAACATAGCAGGCATAGAATAATATAAGACGACGGACGATTCGAGCGAATAAAAGTAGAAAGCTCAAACGGAAATTGGGAATTTTTTAATTATTATAAATATTAATGAACAATTATGTAACGAGCGAACAAATAATACAAAAACTGCATTAGTCGTATTACAAAACAATTTGTACGGGTTATTTTACGGGCAAAAACCTAGATTATTGTCTGCGTTGCGTTTCCGTTATCGCGGAGCTCAAAATTTTTTTTGTAAAAAGGTAAATGTTTACTTTATTCAATATATTGGGTTTTATCGAGAAAGACCCAAAATCAAACAAAACGTTCATTACAATTATTTATTTTGAAGAAAAAAAAAGCTTTTAATAAAATCACATCTAAACAAAAACTGCAAGCGAAATCCACAATACAAATCGAAATCCATTGATGGTTTTTTTTCTTACGGGTTCGCCGTCGTTGGAAGATCAAAACATTAGGAGGGCTGACGACGACGGGTTTTTGCTGTGAAATATTTTCGTCGTCGCTGGCCGCCACTGTCGTAAGCACAAATGTGTATACACGGACACAAACGCGAGGGCGCGGCGCGGGACGACGATGACGTGTAGGAAGTGGAACAAAGAATGGTCGGGTAGCGAGGCAGTGGCGAACGGGCGAGGCGAGGGGCGCGCGACGGCGTGGAGTAGTCGCGACGGGACGCGGACCCGGGACCGACCGCGTTATTAATGGCTGACGTGCGTGCGAGTGTGTTTGTGTGCGCGCGCTGTATAGCGATTACACTATTACTATTACTATTATTATTATTATTATTACTATTATAAATATATATAATAATATTATTATACCTCTGCGAGCATACAGTTTTATACTTCATGCCCATTGGCCGTATAATTGTACTTTTTTCTGGAATTTTAAAGCGTTTTCCGAATAGGTAAACAAAAATAACGGTACTTTTGTAGGTTATTAATAATTGCAAACTACGAAAAGGCGACTATTAGTATTAACCAGTTATAGACAAAAAGAACTATCAACGCATCTATTATCCAAATTATTGAATGCTCCAAATTATAAATTAACAAACAAGATAATTTTAGTTTTCAATTAAGTTTTTGCAAAAAATTGCAGAGGTATGCCTTATAATAATGTTTGTCATGCTCATAATTAACTACACCGTAAGCAACCCCCCAGTAAATCCAACAAAAATCTTTATCAATATAAGATCAATAAAATATACATTCGTTTAAAATTCATTTATGGTTAGTTTAACCAATGAATTATTATTGATATTTAATCTATAATTTAGCAATATCTATTGCCGTAGGTTAACTATGATGTTATAGACTGACTGATTGAGGATTCATTCCAATTAACATTTATTATATAATGATATATTAAATAACACTAGTTATGTAATAATATTTATTATGACGATAATACAATTTTTATTGATTTGAGAATTATGTGATTTATTATTATTAATTATTATTATTATTTGTTAATGTGTAATAGTAATATTATTTTTTAAATGTACAATGTCCGTTTGTTATTTTATGCAAGAAATGTTATTAATTTAACAATTAATATCCTCTCGTTAAAATTTGGTGAATGGATTTTATTGATATTTGTACCGAAATATAATTGTACAATAATAAGTGCAGTATAGTGTTTTTTTCGTCGACCGTTGTTGACATAATCTTAATACATAAATGAATTATAATGCACCACATGTTTTTTTTGATTACATTTACCATGAGAGTACACTGAACCAAATATAATTTGTAAAAATCAATAAAATGCATTCATCAAATTTCAACAATGGGATAATATTATTAAAATAATAAAATATGTTCTATTTATTTAACAAGCCGTATTCTGTAATGATATTATCATACATTGTTTTCAAATGTATTGGTTAACCACCAATACATTTGAAGGTTACAAGTATGAAAAGCGTTACAACGATTATATTGGTCTCTGGTTTGTGTCATAAGTCAATTATTATTATACACCATCGTAGTTATAGATGCTTTTGGCGGCACACGAACTCGTAAACTAGCCGAACCTATCGTTTGAAATAAATGTCAATGACTTAAGACGCGTTCCTTTTTGTTTTCTAGGGTTTTGCCGGCAAATTGCCCGAATAAAAAAAAGAAGAGAGCATACGGCGACAATTTCAATTAACGGCATCCTTGGCGTTTCCGTCGTCCTTGTCGCTATTTTTTTTTCCACCACCGCCGTTTTAATTAAAACCGGAATTTACTTACTTATCCCGTAGGCGATGACGACGGCCACGTCGCCGGAGGTGTGTGTATGCACAGGCAGAGGAATAATAATAAAAAATGTCAACATTCAAACGGATCACGTCCATCTCAGAACACTAGCGATAACCACCATTTCACAATTTTTCATCGTGATTTTATTATATGGTGATAAAAAATAATTAAATGGTGCTAGGGGAAAACTGGTCAAGTGTAAAATTTGCGAAAATGAGTTTAGGCCATACCTAGATTAAGAAAAATTATGTTGTAGAAACTAGATTGTAAAAATGTGTTATGGGTAAAACGATCAGAGTCCTACGATTCCAATACCACATGTAAAAAAAAAATTAGGTTTATCAAAAATAGGACATAATTAAATAAATTAATTTGTTGTGGTAACTAATAATTACTTTTCTATGGTATAACAATTTGTTGTTTTTCAAAGTTTAGGGAAAAGATTAATCCATGTTTCAAATAAAAAAAAAAATATATATATATTATCATTTCTTTTTTCCGTTTAAATTTTAATTTTTGAATACTGAAAATTCCAAATTTTAGACAGACTTATTATAACAATATAAACAAATCTAACCAAAAATCCAAACATCCTACAACGGAAAAAAACGTTCATTTATAATTATACGTTATCGATTATCGTTTTACCTAAAAAAATCACATTCCAATTTCATCCCATTCTATTTTTATTCATGAATAAAAAAAGAAGTCCGTCGTGACACACCAACTCCCATAACCCCGACGAGTGTTTAGGCATTCGGATAACTTGTTTTTAAACTCATTCGATACACAAAGGTATTAAAATAATAAAGATCTAGATAAAAATCAGCTCAACTCTCGCGCTATACACGGTAATAATATTATGGCAGCGACACACAACGAAAAACCAACACTGGGAAGTAAATTTTTTTTTTTACTTGTTTGTTAGTTAAAAAAAACTTGATTAAGTTTAATTACTCGTTTTCGCATACATTACTCGATATTGAAATGATTAATATTTTAACTAACATGCGACTATTAAATTATAAAGATTTTTTACTTGAGTGAATTACCAAAACGAAATTAATTTAAAAACAACCAGATCACACATTTCTCAATTGGTCAACAGAAAAACGCTTACACTACGCTGTTCAACTGGGTACGCGATTAATAGCACTTTTGTAAGCAGACAAACAAAAAAAAAAGGTGAATAAAAGTTTATTTGTTTATGTTGTTAAATCTCGACTACGTAACTAACGCTCTTTTATATTTTATACACACGCATTTATAATATTTTGCATAACATAACCATGAAACTTGTTCTTTGTTTTACACGGCAAATGCGACTATTGTATACCACACGATAACAAATATTGTGACCATATTTTCGCCAAAGTATACAAACTATACTATTTTAATGCGCCCGGTCGATGACATTTGCACAAAGGCCTATTTTTTCGCCAACTACTAAACGTCGTC